TTTACAAGTCCAAGGTTTGCTGTGGTGTCAGGCTGGGTTTTCTAGAGAAGCAAAACCAGTGAAGGTTATATAACTATATATAAAGAAATTGACCTCAAGGAAATGGCTCACGCAGTCGTAGAGGTTGGCAAGTCCCAAGTTCATGAATCAAACATCATGCTGGAGGCTTCTCCAGACTCACAGCTGCAGGGGCTGACGAACTGAATATTGGCAGACAGTGCAGCAGGTTGCTGGCTTCGGAGGCTGATCTATCCAAGATTGGCAGGTAAGATGGCAGGCTCTTGGCTCACAGGCCATGAAGGCAGCAATCCCCCAATCAGCAGGCAATGTGGCAGGCCACAGGTTCGAGGCAAGATGGCGGTGAACCAGATGCAGGATCCAGAATGAACCAAAAGCCAAAGATCCTTGTTGCCAGGACGCCATATATGTTAGAAACAGGCTACATCCCTGAGGAAACACCCTTTCAGTTGGCTGCTCACAGCAAATCTCATCATGGAGGTCATTACATTACATGAGGTTTCATCATGGGAGTAATGACATCATAACTACTAAACCACTGAGAATTGTGGCCCAGCCAAGTTGACACCCAACCTTAACCATCACATATGGTGAGACTGGTTTTGACATCTGTGGTAAGAAACCCAGCTTAAAACCCCTCAATGGCTCCCTGTTGTGCTTAGGAAAAAGACCAAGTCCTTAATTCAGCCCATGAAGCTCAGCAGGGGCCCTTGTGCCCTCTTCCAGCCTTGTCTCCTACCCTATCTTATCTCCTTGCTTTCTGTTCTTCAAACACGTCTGCCTTCTCTGCCTTTCATTCTCACCCTACTCTCTCTGGCCACAGGGCCTTTGCACCAGCTACTCCTTGTGTTGAAATGCTCTTCCCTCCCTCTGCCAGTTAGCATCCACATGTCCTTTCATCCTCAGCTCAAGAGTCATTTCCTCAGGGAAGCCCTCCCTGACTTCTCAGACAAGGAAGTCCAGCTTTTGTAAGCTCTGGTGTCCCTGTGACCCTCTCCTCTTTAGCATTGTCACTGATTCCCCTTTTGTTTGTTTGTTTCTTTGTGTGACTATGTGATAGATGTCTATTTCCCTATTAGCTGTCAGTGCCATAAAGACCAGAAGCATGTCTGTTTTCACACACCATTGTAACAACCTGGAGAGGAGAGGTAACCCTGTGTAAGGGTGTGCCCATGATACAGAAAATATGTTGGCGCCAAACAGTGTCTCTTTCATACTGGCAAAGAGTAGAGGGGTGGAGCAGATAGCTCTTTGTCTATCATTAGAAAAGCAAAGGCCGGTTTGGAGTTGGGTGGGGATCCAAGACACTCTGAATAAGAAAATGAGATGATTTGGAGGGTGAAAGGCTGGTGAAAGTGAGAGGGAATTGAGTCTGCAAAGGAAGCTAGATGCTGTATGGAAAAGGAATTTGCGCTGCAAACTTTCACCCAAATCACAATAAAAATTAAAAAAAGAAGAAGCTGGAGAGCGCGCAAGAAGAAATCGGTAAACTGGGGTTTAAGGTGGGAGTGGGGGCTTTCAGTTGGTCCACCCAGAAGCAGACCATGAAACAAGCTGTTTATGTAGAGTGTGAGCCCAACAAACATCAGTAGAGGTGTGAGGTAGAGACCAAAAGAAAAACCAAAACAAAAAACCCAAACTCACAGCTATCAAGTCAATTCCAACTCATAGCAACCTCCTTGGGGTTTCCAAGGCAGTAAATCTTGACAAAAGTAGATTACCCCATCTTCCTTCCATGGAGTGGCTGATGGGTTTGTACTGCTGACCTTCTGGTTAGCAGTCAAATGCTGTAGGCACTAAACCACCAGAACTCCTCATGAGGTGGAGATGGGTGAAGAAAAACCACTACAACCAAACTCATTTCTGTGAGTCTACTCTAATTCATGGTGACTCCACGGGTTACAGAATAGAACTGCTCCACAGGTGTTTTACTGGCTGTAATCTTTACGGGAGCAGATAGGCCTTTCTTTCACAGGGCTGCTGGGTGGGTTTGAACCACCAAACTTTAAGTTAGCAGTTGAGTGCAAACCAGGGACTTGGTACAGAAAGGAAGAGAGCTAATAATAGCACAAAAGCGACCATAGACAATATTTAAATGAACGGGCATGACTGCATTCCAATAAAACTTTATTTACAAAAACAGGCAGCAGGTTGTAGCTTGCCAACTCCTGCTCAGAACATAGACCTTCAGTTGAACACAGTCCTCATCACTCCATGTTGCCTTATACCCAGACCAATTCTTTCATTTGTAACACTGTGTGACCCCATTAGGCGTTTGAATTTGCAGCCCTTGATGTAAGTTTTTTTGAGGTTAGGCTCT